AGAGATCGAATGACAATAAGGAGCTCTGCTCACCATTAAGTTCTACATAAATGTCAACTATTGGGAGGCAGAGTCAAGATGGCAGAGTAAAGTCAGAGACTCATCTGAATTCTCCGCCAAGCCCATTCAAATACCTTTAAATAATAATCCTAAACAAGTTCTAGAGCAGCAGAACCCACAAAAAGACAGAGTGAAACAATTTTCCAGCCCAAGATAGCTTAGAAGGTCAGCAGGAAAGGTCTGTTGCACCAGGGTGAGAGTGGAATGCAATCCAGCACAGGCCAAGCCAGCATAGATCTGGCCCTAGCAAACCAAGAACAGGCCTCAGGATGAATGAATCAGTGGCAGCAGTGGCAGTTTCCAGACCTCTCCACCCACAGACAGTAAGAGAATCAGACAAAAGGTCAGAAGAAGATTTACAGGGGTCCCTTTGCTGGCACCAGGGGGCAGGACTCTGTTGCATTGACTATACTTGGATCTGGGTCTCAGCCCTGAGTCTTAGTCCCAGTGTGAGGAGGAACACTAGCATAAAGGAGCTTGCAGCCACAGGGGAGCAGGGACCCTGATCACCATTCCAGGGTTGAATAGAATGCTTGTGATCACTCACAAATCATTGCACAGTACAGAAGAGTAGTAAACACACCTCTTTCTAGATCATACCATTTGGAAGAACCAAAAACTTATAGGTCCCCAGAATTACTTTTTAAAACAGCCGCACAAAAAACCCTGAAGGTTGAGATAGTGCCCCCTCCACTTGGGAAGCAGAGCCCCACTTTAGTATAAGACCTGCAGGGGTGGGGAACCTGCAGCCTCAAAGCAACATGTGCCCTTCTAGGTCCTCAAGGGCAGCCTTTTGACTGAGTCCAAGTTTTACAGAACAAGTCCTTATATTAAAGGAGTTTGTTCTGTGAAGTTTGGACTCAGTCAAAGGGCTGCCCTTGAGGACCTAGAGAGCCTCATGTTTCCTCAAGGTCACAGGTTCTTCACCCCTAGATAGAATTAAAGATCAAGAAATAGGTTGGGAAATGAGCAAACAAAAGAAAAGCACTCTGGTCACAGAAGGTGATTATGGTGACAAGGAAGACCAAAACATACTCAGAAGAAGACAACAAAGTCAAAACTCCTATATCCAAAACCTCAAAGAAAAATATAAATTGGTTTCAGGCCATGGAAGCGCTCAAAATGGATTTTAAAAATTAAGTAAGAATGGTAGAAGAAAAATTGGGAAAAGAAATGAGACTGGTGCAAGAAAATAATGAAAAAAGAGTCAATAGCTTGGTAAAGGAGGCACAAAAAGTACAGTAGAAAATGACACCATTAAAACAAGAATAGGTCAAATGGTAAAAGAAGCACAAAAATCAAATGAAGAAAAGAATGCCTTGAAAAGCAGAATCGGCCAAATGGAAAAGAAAGTACAAAGGCTCACTGAAGAAAATAATTCCTGAAAAGTTATAACTGGACACATGGAAGATAATGATTTTATGAGACATAAAGAAATAATCAAAATTAAAAGAGTGAAAAAATAGAAGAACATGTGAAATGTTTCATTGAAAAAACAACTGACCTGGAAAATAGATCCAGGAGAAATAATTTAAGAATTATTAGATTACCTGAAAGCCATGATTGAAAAAGAACTTAGACATCATGTTTCAAGAAATTATCAAGGAAAACTGCCCTGATATACTTGAATTAGAGGGTAAAATAGAAATTGAAAGGATCTACCGATCACTTCCTGAAAGAGATCTCAAAATGAAAACTCCCAGGAATATTATAACCAAATTCTAGACCTCCCATGTCAAGGAGAAAATATTGCAACTAGACAGAAAGAAACAATTCAAGTATCATGGGTCCACAGTCAAGATAATACAAGCTTTATCAGCTTCTACATTAAAGAACTGTAGGGCTTGTAATATGATATTCTAGAGAGCAAAAGAGCTGGAATTACAATCAAGAATCACCTACCCAGCAAAAACGGGTATAATTCTTCAGGGGAAAAATAGATATTTAATGAAATTGAGGACTTTTAAGCATTCCTGATGAAAAGATCAGAGCTGAATAGAAAATTTGACTTTCAAATGCAAGACTCGAGTGAAGCATAAAAAAAAGATAAATGGAAAGAGAAATCATAAGGGATACAATAAGGTCAAACTGTTTATATTCCTACCCGGTAAAAATGATGTTTATAACTCCTAAAACCTTTCTCATTATTGGGATAGTTAGAAAGATGATATTTGTATAGTAAGCAGAGGTGTGAGTTGAATGTGATGGTATGATTATCTAAAAAAATAAAATTAAAGGATGAGAAAGAGGAATTCACTGGGAGAAGGGGAAAGGGAGAGGTAGAATGGGATAAATTATCTGACATAAAAGAGGCCTGAAAGAGATTTTGCAGTGGAGGAGAAAATGGGGGAAGTGGGAGGGGGAAAGGTTAATCTCACTTTCATCAGAATTGACTCAAAGAGGGAATAATATACACACTCAATTGGGTATAGAAATCTATCTTACCATATAGGAAAATAGGAGAGGAAGTGGATAAGAGAAAGGGGGGCATAGCTGACAGAAGAGAGGGCAGTTTGGGGGAGCTAAAAATCAGGAGCAAAACACTTTTGAGAATGGACAGGGTAAACTGGAAGAAAATAGGGTGGAGGAAAATATATAATTGGTAATAATTATTGTGAAAAAAATTTTTTACAGTGAATTTCTCTGATAAAGACTTCATTTCTCAAGCATGTAGAAAATTGAGTCAAATTTATAGAAATAAGAGCCATTTCTCAATTGATAAGTTGTCAAAGATAGATATGAACAGGCAATTTGCAGACAAAGTAATCAAAGCTATCTATAGTCGTATGAAAAAATGCTCTAAATCACTATTGATTAGAGAAATGCAAATTAAAACAACTCTGAGCTACAACCTCACACCTGTTGGATTAGTTAATGTGACAGAAAAGGAAAATGACAAATGTTAGAGTGGATGTGGGGAAATTTAAATGCTCATGTACTATTGGTGAAGTTGTATACCAATTCAACCATTCTTGAGAGCAATATGAAACTATGCCCAAAGGGCTATAAAACCACATATACTCTTTGACCAAGTAATGTCACTGCTTGGTCTATATCCCAAGGAGACAAAAACAAAAAGGAAAAGGACCAATGTGTACAAAAATATTTATAGTAGCTTTCTTAGTGGTGGCAAAAGAATTGGAAATTGAGGTATTGTTCATTAATTGGGCAATGGCTGAGTAAGTTATATATGATTGTGATGGAATACTATTGTGCTTTGAGAAATGATGAGCAGGATGCTCTCAGAAAAACATGGAAAAACTTGCATGAACTGATGCAAAGTGAAATAAACAGAACCAGGAGAACATTGTACACATCTATTATGAATAACTTGGCTAATCTCAGCAACACAATGATCCAGAACAATTCTGCAGGACTTCTGATGAAAGGTGCTATCCTTTCTTTTTCCAAAGAAAGAACTGGTAGAGCCTGAATGAAGATCAAAGATAGTTTTTCTTTACTTCCTTTATTTTCTTGGGGTTTTTTTGTCTGTGTTTTCTTTCACAGAATGACTTACATGGAAATATATTTTGCATGACTATACATGTATAACCTACATCAAATTGCTTGCCTTCTCAACAAGCAGGGAAGAAGGGCAGGGAGATAATTTGAAAAAAAAAAGAATGTTAAAATTGTTTTTCCATGTAATTGGGAAAAATAAAATATTAAAAAAGAAAAAAATGTCAACTATCATCATCATTATTATTACCATTATTATTATTATTTGCTAGGGCTAGCAGAGGACCACAGAACAAGATATGGAGTTACTGTGGGAGCAGGAACTTCTTCCTCCTAACTCTAGGGATAACTGTGTCCTTATAGGAGGCACCATTTGCCTTGAACTAATTAATTTTATGCTTAGGCAGTCCTGGGTCAGTGAAGACACTGTTAGTACTCATTGGTTCCTAGAATCTGAAAGGATATAAGAGATCATCTAATCAAACCTCTCATTTTTATAATCTTTAATCTTCCACCCTTACCCCCATCAAGTTGAGGATGGGAGGAGATGTTCTTTTATATTTGACCTTACCCTTCTTTAAAAAATTCTATAATTGACTTTGCTCTAGATTGAAAAAAAATTATTTCCAACAAACCCACTGTCTCTACAGTATTCAGAACTACAGGGGATCTTTCAGATATAATTCACTCCCATCATTTTATAGATGAAGAAATTGACAACCAGAGACTTTTCCCAAGTCATACAGTTGTCAAGTTAGTAGCAGAGTCAAGACTTGAACTCAGGTTATCTGGTTATAGAACCAGTGATATTTGCATCATGTCAGACTTTTTTTTTTTTTTGAGGGGATTGGGGAAGCTAGAAATGAAATTTTGCTGTGGATCTCATGAATTATGGTTAATTTGTTGCCAGTTAGGAAAGTCTCAAGGAGGCAGGTTTTCAAGGTTGGTTGACTCATCTCTCTGTATAATGAAATTTTGTGTTATTTATATAATAAAATTCATGATGCTAAATGATCCAGTGCCTTGGTATTTTAACTTTATCTACCCTGAGATGAAAAAAAAATCCTCCAGTGTAATAAAAAGGTCAGGATGATCAATGTTCCTAATTAAAAAGGAGAGTGGATCATTTTTTTAAAACCCAAGAGCCTGTACTAGTCATACCTGTACAGCTCCAAGAAGGCTGAAGAATGATCTCTTATTAAGACCACAAAGCCACTAAATATCCTTTTTTTTTCTGGCAAAGAAGGCCCTAAAGCATTGACCCCTCTGGCTAGCATAGAGTAGAAGTAGAAATTTTATCAAGCTATAAAGGGAATTTGATCAATGTAGAAATCTCAGTTTACATTGGGCTCAGTAGTGCTTTATTCAAGCTTTTTAAACGGCACAATAAAAGAATTTATCTTTTGGTACCGAACTACCTGGAGAGTTGCCTTATCCCTACAATCTAACTCCAACCTACATGCCCCGCTATTTATGTTCAGTCTAGGGTACAAAAGAAGAAATGGAGAAAATGAAATTTTGGGAGCTCTGTCTGGTTTCCCTCCTGACTTTGGGCATGGAATCTGAGGGCCTGCTGTGGGTAAGTCTGTTTGCCCTATCCATTCTTCTTTATCACTTCTAATGTCTCTCATCTTGACTCTTCTGGGATTCTTTAAAAGCCAAGCAATTTAAATTTAGAACAAAGAACATTGGACTAGAAGTTAAGAGACCTGGGTACCAGACCTGGCTCTGACACCAATTAGCGATGTGACTTTGTAACTGAGTTTCCTGGACTTCAGTTTCTTGGTGGTTGGAAAACTGGTAATAGTGAGTCAGAGCTCTTATATCTGGGGGCGGAGGGTTCTCCATGATGTCACAAGAAGAATTTATAAAACCCAGGATCAGCCGTGGACCCTGGAAGAGGTCTTTTACTCTCCTTGAGCTGACACACCTTCAGTTGTATTACAAGGGAACCATCATTCTCATCTGGAACTGGGGTCATAGCTTTAGAGTTGGAAAGGGCATTGGAAATCATCTCTTTATTTTACAAATGAGAAAAATGTGGTCTTTGAAGTTAAAGTAACTTCTCCAAGGTCTCATAGGCAGTAAGCAGCAAAGCTAGCATTTAAACCCAGGCCCCATGACTCCAAATCTCATGTTCTTAGTGGCAACTGGGTGGCAAATACACCATTGAACTTGGAGTTAGAAAGACCTGAGTTCAAATCCTGCCTCATCAAATTCTGCTTATATCTACTAACTGTGCGATCCTAGGCAAGTCCCCTGACCCTTCTGAGCCTTCCGATCCCTTCATCTGTAAAGCAGGGATAATATTATAAATAATTACATTATCATTAATAATTAAGCACAATTAATAATTAATAGTATTAATCACTCAATGTAAGTAATTAATAATATTACCTACTTCACAGTTATCATGAGAAACAAATGAGATAAAGTAAAGTACAAACCTTAAAGCATTATATAAATACTAACAATTTTTTTTCCATGACATGATATACCTCTGTATAAGACCCAACTCAAGATACTCATTGTACTACCTAAAGAGACCAAATCTATTCTCCTTTCTGCTGAGGAGTTGCTGCAGAGGCATGTCTATGAGGTAGAAAATCTAATGAAAGCTTGAGTTTCCATCCCTCATAATTCCATCCCTCCAGTGTTCAGTGTCTGGGGACCCTTTCTTCTGCTTTGTTAGTCAGCGCCATTTATTTGGAGCCAGCACCTGAGCTACCTGACAGTGTTAAGTCTTTATTACTACAATCCTATGATCTTGGACTCTAAAGCAGAAAAGGTATGATATTATTTGTCCCCAAAAGAGCAGAGTTCCTTTGTAGATCTCTGCTTTTGTGGACAGATCCAGAGGTAGGTACTGAGTTGGTTGGCCAAGGTAAAGAGGTCAGCAGCTACTACTGAGCTGACCTCATCCTAGTCTGTAGACTGGTGTCTGAGAATGTGTTTTTGAGGCACTTCTGGTGACTGACAGGAGAGGGAGCAACTGGGATAGAGACAGGATCCTTACTCTTAGTTCTAAAATTGTACTATCTCAGGCATCTTTGATCAGTGATGTATTAGGCAAAGGTGGGTAGGGAGAGACCATACAGGATGACACTAGCAAGTAGACAAGGACACTGGGGCATCTCTTTGATGCTGCTTTTGTTGAGGATTTGGATCTATCATTTCAATCAAGCTGTAGCTCAGAGAACAAAGCAGATTAATTTAAAGTACAACTTTTTAAAACCTTATCATGCTTCCTTTTCAGAGAAACAAGAGTCTCAAAACAAAAAAGGACCTTGATGTGAGCAAGGAAACACATCCAGGTGAGAGTTTTCAGGTCCCACAGGCAGAAGCATAGAACAATATTCTCATTTGGGGACAAAAACTCTGTGTGTGTGTGTGTGTGTGTGTGTGTGTGTGTGTGTGTGTGTGTGT